AATTAACTATGGAAAGTTTATAGGTGTTCCCATAGAAGTATGATATTTATCTGAAAAGTAATGTGTAAAATGTTAAGATTTAAATGAATATTAATATTAATGATAGAATTGAATTGGTATGGATTGTTGTTTTAATTATATTATACATTTATAATTTTTTCTTTTTTTAAAATACAGTGTGTAGTTTTAGAAAGTACCAAGCAGAATCCGAACGGAAGTTATGTATTATACTAAGTGTTATAATTTTAGGGGAAAGATATAAAGGCGTCATACTCCAATCAGTGATTACAGAAGAAATTTTGTTTAATGAGAAAAGATAGTAGACAGTTGAAACAGGACAGACAAAGAATATAAGTACAAAGATTTGAATTGAGATGAAATAAATAAAATAAAATTAAGAAAGTTAAAAGAGGGGAGAAGCTATATTGAAAATGTAGAATTAGTAATAAGATATGGAATGGAATATAAAAATGGGCATGAACTTGAATTTGTGTCTGTACGAAGAGATGTAACCCGGGATTATGCTGCTTTCAAAAAAGATGTTTTATGTTTTATGTTTTGTTTGTTTATGTTTGTTTTCAAAAATCAGTAAAATTTTCAAAAAAAAATTAAAATGCTCGGATTAACATTATTTAACTAGCAAATATATTGGGAAGCCTATAAAGCCACAACAGTTTAAGGCAAGAATGTAGTGTCATTCCCTCAAAGACACAAAGATAGATATTAAAGGACACATGTCTCAGTCAACCCATTTTCCTTCTCTATTAAGCAATGCTTCAACAGGTAAGGACAAGCAAGAGTTTCTGTTACACAACAGCAGATTCCAATGATAAACCTGATTAAAATAAATGTCAGAAGTGAACTTCCTCCTCAGTTCTTTTTAAAGAGCCTCACCCTTGCTTACTGTCATTTTTGAAGTTGTTTCAAGAGAGAGACTATAAAATGCTACCTGCCCACCTTCTGATTTCATGATTATAAATATTTGAAGATGAAGGGTCTTTCCTTTCATTACTGGTCTGTATTTCTTAAATATAACAGTAGAAATTTTGAAAATGCATATGAAAAAGTGCTTCAAGTTCCAAAATATTAACTGGACTGATGAGAAAGTTATTAAATGGCATGAAAGGAGAAAAAACAGAATTCTGATCATTTGATCTTGCTAGCTCATATAGGCATTACAAGAAAATAGCACTGGCCAAAATGTAGACCTGTCTCAAAATGCATAAGCATCTCATTAAAATGAGCACAGTATGTCATGTTAGAGAGAAGTTTTAAACATTTAAAATGACAAACACCTGCATCTGGAACATCCTGTTTATCTCCATATAGCCACCACACATTGAGCTGGCAATCATGCTCTATTGACCAACTTGCTAAATGCTATTGACTTGGAGCAGGAGGAAGGTACTTGGAAAAAACTCAGCTAGATCCTGGCAAGCTGGACTTTAATATAGGCCTATGATCGGGCCATTTTTATAGCCCATCAAAATCAAAAGACTCTAGATAGGTTATAACACATTAAGAATTACTTCAAAAAAAGTAACAAATCAATATACACATACAAACACACACATACACAAACTGCCAGGGGTCAATGTCAGGTTTGAAGTCCCAGTGGAATGTCAAATACTATGGGAAAAACAGCTTAATGAACCTTTGGAGCTACAGAGTGCCAAAGCTGGAGCTTGCCCCAGAAAGGGTGTACCATCTCATCCATGCCCTAAGTCACTTCTGATGAGATGGGCAACTATATACGATGATAGATAGACAGATAGATAGATAGATAGATAGACAGACAGACAGACAGACAGACAGACAGAGACAGAGAGAGAGAGAGAGAGAGAGAGAGAGAGAGAGAGAGAGAGAAGCAGGCAGGCAGGCAAACTTTCAATGGAGAGGGGGATCTTAACAACTCTTCTCAAGATGCTTTCATCGGACAGGGAGATTCAATTTTGGAAGGGGTGAAACAAGTTTGTGCTAAAGAGTCATCTTTTTTGGGGGGGTGGGGGTGGTTTTTTTTAATTTTCAAACAATTCTTTTTTCTCAAAACTCAATTTGAGAAAGTAAGCGTAAGGACCTGTGACAGAAAATGATTCTGATACGCAGGGAAGAAGCACGGAAGGCTGAGCCAGTTACAGAATTCTTATAAAAAAATAAGTAAGATGGTGCTTTATTGGAAGACAAAGAATAAACCAAGAAATGTGGATGGAAACTAAATATAGTCTGTACAGGCTCAGCTAATCATTTTCTGGAAGGATTGATGGGCAGAATGTTGTACATAAAGTCCCTGTTAAGCATCTGCCTCGTTTAGTAACCTTTTGGAGTTACAATGAGGACAAAAATGAAACTGTTTGACCAATCCTTGCATTTACAAACTTCAGGTGTCTGTATAAGTAATCACCTTACAACCACAACTAGGACTGGAAAATTCAACATTAAGCAGCGTGGTCATTAAATGAGGCATTCCGTTCTACAAACTTTTTTGCAGTTGTTATAGAAGACATGATGTGATCATGATTTGCAACCTTTCCTGTTGGCTTCCCCATTGACTTTGCTTATTGAAAACTGGCTGGGAAAGTTGCAAATGGCAATCGTGTAACCCCAGGATGTTGCATCATAATCATGTTATTGTGAGGATACTGCAACAGTGTGTGAGGACCGATTGCAAGTCTTTTTTTTTTTTAGTACTTCAGATAATTGCTAAAGGACTGGTCATAAATTGAGGATAACCTATAGAGCAAAGTTGAAGTGAGATCATGAGTGCAGTGACAATTTCATTTAATGACTGCTTTGCTTAACGACTTGAGTTGCCAGGCTCAACTGAAAAAAAGACTACCTGTAGTTTTACAAAAACCACATGAACAAAGTTTGAATGAACTGACTTCTTGTATGCGCCATGGCAAGAGAATAGCACTTGGCAATAGCATTTAAGACTTATATACCGTTTCATAGTGCTTTTACAGCCCTCTCTAGGCAGTTTACAGAGTCAGCCTATTGTCCTCAAAAATCTGAGCCCACGTTTTACTGACCTCGGAAGGCTGAGTCAACCTTGAGCCGGTCAGGATAGCCTGCATTCTAACCATTGTGCCACCTTTGCTTTGGTGGCTTTTGTTAGTTAATCATACAGTTTTGCAAATGGAATAGCCACTGGATGCTGGATCCAAGTTGGTGTAATCTCTCCAGAACAAAGGAGAGATAATTGAGATTATTCATGTTATTCTGGAGAGCTGCTCCTCACGAGTAGATCACAGAAAGCATTTTTACAGTTGGCTTATGAGTGGAGTGACTGAGAACTACATCCACTTCCAAGTTTCAACTTGCAAAGTAGTGTTTAGGGATACTAGGCTTGACCTTAATCACTTGGTTTGGATTACTTTCTGTATTATTTGCAATTTGCAATTTAAGATCCTTCAGCCTGGCAAGGTTCTATTGCATTCATTGGATGCGTTTCCTTCTCCTTAAAAGATTATGATGCAAATTTGATTTTGATGCCTAGATTTCATAATAAATCTTCTTTTGTGGAAAAATATCATTTTTTTCCTCCTGTCTTGTTTTCAGTATATAAATTACAACACATACTGATTTATAGATACCTGACTCAACAGAAGAAACTGCAAGAAGGATCTAGGAGTTTAAGTACACAAAATCACTTCAATATGAGCCAGCAGTGAGCTGTAGCCACCAAGAAAGCCAATCCTAGGCCTCATTAACAGTGAGATAGAATCAAGATAATGTGAAGTGTTAGTACCGCTTTATAATGTCTTGATAAGACCACAGAATAGAATAGAATATTGCATCCAATTTTGGTCACAATATAAAAAAGATGTTAAGACTCTGGAAAGAGTGGAGAAGAGCAACAAGGATGATTAGGGGACTGGAGACTAAAACACACAAAGAATGGTTACAGGTATTGGCTATGTCTAGTCTAATGAAAAGAAGGACTAGGAGTGATGATAGCAATGTTCCAATATTTGAGGGGCTGCCACAAAGAAGAGGGGGTCAACCTATTTTCCAAAGCACCAGAAGACAGGACAAGAAACAATGGATGGCAACTAATCAAGGAAAAAATCAACCTAGAACTAAGGAGAAATTTCCTTAGAACAATTAACCAGTGGAATGACTTCAGAAATTGTGGTGTTCCTTCACTGGAAGTTTTTAAGAAGAGATTTGACAGCCATTTGTCTGAAATGGTATAGGGTTTCCTGCTTGAGCAGGCAGTTGGACTACTAGAAGACCTTCAAAGTCCTTCTAACTCTGTTATTCTGTTATATAACCAGTAATATTAATAGTCGGATATATAAAAACCTAATACAAATAATTCACATAGAAGAACACTGAAAGATTATCATTGTTAACAAAACTGCATGACCAGTTGTGATAGTTGTAAAGAGGGTGATCAAATGACTAGATTGAATTTTATGACCTTTTTATGGTGGTCGTAAAATGAATGCCATGGTCATTAAACGAACCCATTGTTTGCTAAAGGCTGTTTTTTGCAGAACCAGAAATAAATGGCTGCTTCCAGCAAAACTATCATAAATCATGCTCATGTGACTGTGGGGCATTGCAAATGGCTGTAAATAAATCCCAACTGCCAAGTGCCTGAATAGCAATAGCATTCAGACTTATATACCTCTTCATAGTCCTTTTCATCACTCTCTGAGACGTTTAAAATGTCAGCCTATTTCCCCCAACAATCTGGGTCCTCATTCTACCGGCCTCGGAAGAATGGAAGGCTGAGTCAACCTTGAGCGGGTCAGGATCGAACTCCAGGCTGTGGGCAGAGTTAGCTTGCAATATTGCATTCTAACCACTGTGCCACCATGGCTCTTTACCTAACCCGTAAAAACATGACAGTGCAGCACTTTTAATTCAATCTCAAATCAGCTATTTTAATATGTGAAACACATAACCCTGTGCACTCTGAAATGCACCTAGAAATTGAATCCAAAATGCAGTAGTCCTAACAAATATTCATATATTACGTATCAGTAAGTCACCTGCACTTGAAAGATCTTAAAGTCAGCTCCATACATCTTCATCTCCTCTGGGAACTCTTTAAAAGCATTCAAATAAGGAATGTGATCATCCATTACCAACCTGGGTTAAGGAGATTAAAATAAAATCAATACATGAATTACAGTTTGGTTCATAACACAGAACAAATGTTAATTATAAACTTTTTAAAAGATGTGCTCATTTCTGACATCCCCTAATCCATGCTAAATATTATATTAAAGTATCATATCAGGGTTAGTCTTTCTGGCTGCATTCTAGTAGCTGAGACAAGTCTACATGCCAACATAGGCATGTTTTAGGTAGCATGGACTGAGTATTTGGAGACAGACTAATGCAGAAATGTGAATTAGTTCAATTTGTTCAATGACCCCTTTTCAAAGATAAATTAAGACACTTTTGTCCTGCTTTGGGTTTGCAATTAATGACCAGTACTAGTTCAAACTATTTTGTTTGAATACCACATATATGTCATTGTAATCCACGGGTGTCAAACTCGCCGCATCACATTGCCAACATGTGATGTTTTGCGATGTTTTTCCCATTCGTGGAGCTGGGGTGGGCATGGCCTGCGTGTGACGCATCTGGCCCATGGGCCCCCAGTTTGACATCCTGTAATTGATCCTGGAAATTAAAAAGGCAGTCAATGAATATTTTAAGTATGTACTTTTAAAGCTACTAATTCACAGCTGAATAAAAAACTGACATGTTTTACTCGGTGCAACTAATGATAACTTTTTCTATCTGATGTATAACATTGTAAATTCTATGCCGAAGTAAAAGTAGGATTATAACCCAAATATTTATTAGACATTATTTTTCTTACCTTAAAAGATCTGATAATGTAATGGATTCCCTCAGCCATAGTAATGCCAGAGAACAGAAAGCCAGAGTCAGTGGCATGGACAAGCTCAGATCCCCTTTCTTTCTTTTCTGTAAATATAAACTGCCATCCACTGATCCAGACCAGCCAGACTTTGCTACAAAAAGAGTTCCATAAGGTAAAGAAAGTTAATCTTTCTACAGTACACTTCAATCCAGATTGAAAAAAGCTGCAGAAATAACAAACCATGCCTATTCTAAAAGGAGCACATTAGCATCCCTCCACTGGTTTAATTTTCCAGCCTTGCTGGAGGATAGCAAAGGGGCATACATAATATTTAAAGTTTGACACAAATAATTAAGCCTACATGGCTTCACTTGAAGCACAGTTTGCATATTACCAATTAAACTAATTTATACAGTTAAAAGTAAGGAACAGAAGTATTTTTTTTCTCAAAAATAAAAATAGCTACAGCTACAAACAATCATTTAATATACATACAACAGAGGTAATATTTCATTAATGAAATATGAGCATTCAACCACAAGATCAGTAGGAGGAAAAGCAGTCATTCTTTCTTAAGTCTGCACCCACAGTATAAAAGGTACTATAAAATTAGCATCTGTTCCACCTTAGGAACTCCTACTTGAAATTGCAGAGATCTTTTGGACAGTCAATCAACTGTCCAATCATCATCAAATCACACAAATAATGTATAATGTGTCAAAATTATACCTGTCCACAGCTTTTATAATAAATATACGAATTATAACATGCATATATGAACTGATTTACATATAGAAAGAGTGTGCTGAGTATCAAAGACAACTTCCAGATAGCACATCAGTCTTGAGAAGGAAATGCTACCTCATCCAAGATCAGAAATAATGGAATTTTAGTTCAAAACATCTGGAAGGTATCCTATTGTCTAACCTAACAAATTAGCTACAAAGGCTCATGATTTTTTGATGTATAAATTTAACTTCTACCATAAATAGTTTAAACATATATTTTATGTATTTTATAGCATCATTTTTAATTACACTGAGAACCATCACAATTCAGTCATTAATAAGACTAAGCGTGGGGAGACCCACATTCTACTACATCTTCAACCATGGAATCAATGGATTACTTACAGTTCAAAGTACCTGACAGCGTTGGGGGGAGGGGGGGAGGTAAAAAACAGGAGGAGGAAACATATGCTTTTGAATGAAAGGCAGGACACAAACATAATAAATTAAGAGCTACCAGTATCTTACCTAGAAACATATTACAAAATCTCAATGGGATTGTATTATAGTTTCCCATCTTTTCCAAAATCTAGCAATGAAGATTGCAAGCTATTCATATTTCGTATTGATCATGTTTTATTTTCAATGTATGTATTCAATTAAATCCATTAATAGTAGCATTCTACCACACTCAGTATCAAGCTGCCTTTACTGTCTGTTTAAAGATAAAGTCCCTTTGTTTAGACTGAATATAGTTACTAAGAAAATATTCTCTAGATCACAGGTGTCAAACTCGCCGCATTATGTTGCCGTCGCGTGACGTTTCACAACATTTTTCCCATTCGCAGAGCTGGGCTGGGTGTAGCCTGTACATGATGCATCTGGCCAGTGGGCCACCAGTTTGACACCTCTGCTCTAGATCATGGCTTCTAAAAACTAGAAGGAACAATAATAGTTTTGGGTATGATACATATATGACTCACAAAATAAAAGCTATGACGCTCAGTTGATCTTTTCAGTGATCTATTCTGTCTTTTTTTACATACAGGCTGTGTCTTAAAAGCATCGCTGATATAAATTCTATCACTAACTCCAGATTAAGTCCAAAATGCAATTCTTTGTGCTCTATTTGTAGCCATATTAAAAACAGCACACTAGCAATCTTTCATTTTATTTGTTCTAGATCATGTAAAACAGATTTAGACAGTCAGCACTAAATTTAATTCAACATAACTTATGTCTTGACAATCCAAATTTAATATACTTCCCAATGTCTACGTACTTGCATCAAGTGGAAAATTTCAACTTGCCCTTTTTGTTAACAGTTTTATAAACATTTTAAAACTCCAAGATCCCATAATACCTAATTGATAGAGAAATCCCCCAACCACAAGAACGATGTTAGAAAGATGAAACTCTTTAAAACTTGAGGATTCAGATTTAATTTTCCCTGCATTATATTTACCCATATAGATTTACTTTTAGACCTAGATTTTAATTTATTCAACGTACAGAGTAAAAAGAAAGATTACACAGTGTTGATGGTCTTCCATATTGTTAGAACTTCTACAGTAATAATTGGACAGTGTACATGTATTTTTATACTACTGTTTGTTAATCCTATTGGACTGCCTGCATAATTTATCAATGCATATTAAATGAACCTTCAAGAAAAAACACACTTTGGGGCAGCTGGTGGCAGTGTAATAGACTACATCTTCAGGTGGCAGCATGACCTATAAAACCTATGATTCAATATTCTCCCTGGTATTTGCTTTAGCACTAGATGAGCCACAAAACTGACTTGTTCAAGCAGTACTCATGTGCCTTCCAAATGGGTTGGAATACATCAACCTTCATTTCTAGATAGATTTCTTTGTGTACCTATCTACTGAGAGAGTTCTAAGTGGGAAATACTGCTCAAGAAGACTTCTGCAATGTACAGAAATTCCCAGTCTGGCAATCAAAAATTGTTTCTGTATAATTGTTTATTCCTCCATTATTCTTAGGGTTAATTCTTAGACCATGTTTTCTACAATTTTTCTACATAGACATGAAGATTGTATGCTTAAATCTCCAAAGTAATCAAATAGAAATATATTTTCATATCTTAAGTAACTACACAAAGAACTAAACAAGGTACATTTGCTCTTACCTGATGCTTTACTAACAGAAGAAGCAGCGGCAGTGCTAAATTCTGATATCACATCATCTATATCACTTGTTGAACAAGTCAAGTTAATCGGATTAGTACTTTCAACTTCTGTTTCAGTGTCTGTGTGCTGTTTAAAAAATAGTTGAATAAGAATAATAATGTTAATCCAGAATTTAAGGGAATTCTTTCTTATTAAATCAACCCTTACTAATCTGCTCAGCAAGATACCAAACAGAACATATTTTTAGAAAGGGAGCATTTTGCTCAGTTAATGCAAAATGATTTCTATAAAAACTAAACCTGTCAATGAGTTTCTTGCTTTTTACTGATTTTCTTACAAGATGCAAGTAGAAATAAAACAAAACAACAAAAATGTACTATCAACAATTCAACCAAGACTACATTTTTAGGGGAAAAAAAGATATGAAAAAAATGGAATTAACATTTAAATACATAGAAAGTGTAACTTAGTTGTAGATAATTCAAGACACCTTTACATTTATACCAACTGATTCATAGTAGTTACAAGACTAAAAAAAAAAGACACAGTGTTTTCTTTGCTCATGTCAATACAGGTAGTTTTTGCTTAACGACCCTAATTGGGACCAGCAACTGTCACTAAGCAAAGTCATCACTAAGTAGGAAATCATGTGACTTGCCATTGTGCTTTTGGATGGAAGGAGACAAGACTAGTCGGTTTCACATCTTCCGCTTTTGTTTGCCTCCTAACTCCTCCCCACCTTTTGGAATGCTCCAGTGCCTGTTTATTGTCTTGTACATCAAAAGCAAAGCAATCATGCCACAGCCTGGGGTTGGAAGCCATTGCCATGCCACACAAATAGCCTCTTATTCTCTTGAAATACCTTGGTTTCCAATCTCTCTGCTCTGGATGGCAGCGAGAGGGGGGAAAAGCAATCGATTTCTCTCTTTTGCCTAACTTTCTCACTGCCAGCACAATTTTCATGTGTAGAAGAAACATCTTAGTCTCTTGAAATTTCTTCCTTTTCTCTCCAATTTCTCTACCCTGGGTGTGTGTGTATGTCTGTCAGGCAAAACAGAGATTGTCTAGAGAAATGGTTCTACAGAGCAGAGAGATTAGAGACAAAGGGATTTCAAGAGAGTAATGTAAGCTGTTTGCATAGTGTGCCTATGGTTCCCAGTCCCAGGCTACTGGCTGAATTGTACTGCTTTTGAGAAGAGCAAACAGCTTACTTTTCTGCAATCCTTTTCTCCAAGTTTGCTGCTTTGAAAGGGAGAAAAGGAAGAGGAAAAAAACAACAAGGATCAGGCACAGGACATTACATACTGACTCTAATGGTGATCATGTGATTTTGAAGGTTGTAAATTTCAACAGTGTTGTAACTTCCAAGAGTGGCTAAATGAATCGTAAGCAAGGACTATTTGCACTCTCACGGAGTCGCAATTACAAGCATTTATATATAATCTATGCTTGAATTACTGAATTACAGTAAGAGCGTGTATACTCTTCCATGGCGGTACTCTTCCCATCTACAGGTAGTCACTCACTTATAACCAGTCAAGATAATAACCAGTTGTACTAGCCATGGACCGGCTGCTTTATGATCATAAAGCACTCCCAGATGTCGTAAAACATTGTGTTGCCCTCCCCCCAATAATGTGACTGCATTTTGGGTGCTTGGCAGCCTCTCTGCATTTACAACTGGTTGCCAAGTACACTGTGATCACGTGATCACCATTTTCAAAATTCTCTGCCAACTTTCCCAGAAGGTTAATGATAAAGTTCAGCATGGGAAGGGTTGCTGTGCAACTGTGTGAATAAGCACAGGAGGGGGGCTGCATCACACAAGTGTGGGAGTGTGCATGCTACAAAGTGTAGGTGGGTGGGCGCATGCTATAGAGTGCAAGATTCCTGAGGTTCTCCTCAGGAGGAAAAGCAAGGGAAGCGATTTACTTGTGACTTTCCCTGCCAGTTTCCCATTGGCTTTGTTCATGGGAAGCTGGCAAAGGTCACAAAAATGCAAATCATGTAACCGCAGGACACTGCAATCATCATTTAAGTGTGAGTTGATTCCAAGCATCTGGATCACGATCACATGAACACAAGGGTGCTGGTACAGCCAGAACTTTGAGGAGTGGTTATAAGTCCCCACACACTCAGTAACGTCACAGTTTCAGTTGCTGAACAAGTGGTAATTAATTGAGGACTACCTAATCATTGTACTTTTCGTCACTGAAGTACCAATATATTTAAAAAGCAACACCAAGCACTGTGGAATCTTAAAGGATGATAAACTATGCAGCAATGTAAGTTTTCATGGACTTCAACCCGCCCATGAATTACATTGGATGATGTACACAAAACGTTGTGCTTTAATACCTGTCAATACTTGAGAAATCACATTCATTGCTACACTGAACTAATAGCTACCTTTTGGAAACACATATTTTAACTATTATAAGTCTTAGGAAAATGTTCTAAAAACCAGAATATTTAAGAATTGTTAAAATTTACTACATTAGCTTATTTTGTCAAAAATAGTAGCAAATATACATTTTCAAGGAACTGCAAGGCAAGTGTGATTTGTAATTTAAGCTTTGGGTGTAATGTGTTTATATACCAATAGCACTTAGCAATAGCAATTAGACTTATATACCGCTTCATAGTGCTTTACAGCCCTCACTAAGCAGTTTACAGAGTCAGCCTCTTGCCCCCAACAATCAGGGTCCTCATTTTACTGACCTCAGAAGTATGCAACCTTGAGCTGGTGAGACTCAAACTGCCGAACTGCTGGCAGTCTTAGTCTGCAATACTGCATTTTAACCACTGCTCCACCACAGCTCTTATATAAGTGCTATATAACTGTGTATGTGTAAAGAAGGTAATTATTATTTCTCGTGAATATTATACTTACAGATGAAATACCATCAGTAACATCACGAACAGGCTTGTCACTATATTTGCTCTTGTGAAGATATCGTCTCCAAAAATTATACAGAACTTCATCCTGATAAGAACCAGCATATTATTCATTAGTATTAGTATACAGGAGGCTTTTTCATTCATCCATTTGACAAGGTTATCTATATAGTGGAACTCACATTAAACTATGGATTTTAATATTTTAATACAGGAAGGGGGAAAAGGAAAATATAAAAAAGAAAAAAGTGGATATACAGTATTGCTAGTTTGCAATATTCCTCATTCAATAATTCAAATTGGTTAAAAATATAGATGGGTAATTAGCTTACCTAAAGCATTAGTATCTCTGTTTTTATTTTTATTGCCCAGAGTCGCTCTGTAAATGAGATAGGTGATCTCCAAATTTGGTGAATAAATATTAGCCCATGAATTTAAAAAGGTTTACATACTTGAATGGGAGGTCCTTAGTTACTCACGTCCCAATCATCTCTCAACAACTCCATCACTAAAATGATTACTCTACATGGGGCTGCCCTTGAAAACCACTTGGGAGTTACAGCTGGCCCAGACAGAAATGGACATGTCATGTCCTGATTATATATCAACCCTGCTTCATGAACAGCACTGGTTGCCAGCTAGCTTCTGGGTTCAATTCATGGGCCTGGTTACTACCAGGGGCTGTTTATTTCAGTGTCCGTCTGTGTCAGATAATTTCTGACTACCCAGTGAACTTAAGCAGAGCACATACATTCCAGGACCAATCAATCAAACTGAGTCTTATCAGGACCTGGGCAGCATCTCCTTTCTGTCCCAGCACTTGCCCTCTAGAAGAGCATCCTCTGGAGATTTGTACACCTCCAACTCTACAGCTGTTTGTCAAGTTGTTAAAAATGTGATTGTTTCCAGGCCTGGGCTAAATTAGGGTAAGTGCCTAGCCTTTTTAGTTTATTAATCTATATTTTGTCCCTAATAAATTCCCTGAGACATCAGATAAATCTTATGTGTACCTTCTTTTACAGGATCTAAAACAATTCATTATATGTGCAGTAGCTAAACTGTTGCTGTGATGAACATAAGACATGATTTATCTGTTATCTGGGAACGGTTTGACCCTGTTGCTCCTGAGGAAGTGGACAGGATCATAGGGAGTATGCGCGCGAGCACATGTATTTTAGACCCATGTCCCACCTGGCTTGTGAAAGCTTCCCAGAAGGTGACAGGCGGTGGACTCTGGCAGTGATTAATGCTTCTCTAAAGGAGGGAATGGTGCCCCAGCACTTTAAGGAGGCTGTGGTCTGCCCTCTTCTTAAAAAGCCATCACTGGACCCCACCCGGTTGGATAATTTCCAACCTGTCTCCAATCTTCCCTTTTGGGGAAGGTTGTTGAGAAGGTGGTTTCTGGATGAAACAGATTATCTCGAACCCTACCAGTCAGGATTCAGGCCTGGATTTGGGACAGAAACAGCATTGGTTGCACTTTTGGATGATCTCTGGTAGGAGCGGAATGGGGCTAGTGCATCCATCCTTGTTCTACTTGACCTCTTGGCGGCTTTTGATACCATTGACCATGGGATTCTTCTGGGAATGGGAGTGGGAAGACTTGTGCTGTCTTGGTTCACTTCCTTCCTCTGGGGCCGCTCTCAGTCAGTGCTGATAGGAGGGGAGAGATCCAATCTCGCCCACTGCTTTACGGGGTTCCGCAGGGCTCGGTACTCTCTCCACTCCTGTTCAACATTTATATGAAATCGCTGGGTGAGATCATCCATCAATATGGACTGAAGTATCACCAATATGCTGATGATACTCAGCTTATGTCTCGGGCCGTGGTGAGTCAAGTGTTGTTGTGTCCTCCCTCTCGCAATGCCTGGAGGCTGTTAGGGGCTGGATGGGGAGCAACGGGTTGAAACTAAACCCATGCAAGACCGAATGGCTCTGGGTCTGGGGTTCATTGGTTCAGGGAGAATTACCACCTTTAGTCTTGGATGGGGTAGCACTACCCCAGACCCTGTGCATAATCTGGGGGTTCTCCTGGACTCACAACTCCTGTTCGAAGAGGTGGCGGTCGTGGCCTGGAGGGCCTTTGCGCAACTGCGGGTTGTGCACCAGTTACGCCCTTTCCTGGATCAGTGGTCCCTACTCACAGTCACTCATGCCCTGGTCACTTCCCGTCTTACTGCAACACGCTCTACATGAGGCTGGCCTTGAAGAGCATCCGGAAGCTCCAGTTGCTGCAAAATGCAGCGGCCCGCATGGTTTTATGCAGACCCCAGTGTGCACATGTATCACCTTTCCTGTAGGAGCTGCATTGGCTGCCAATTTGCTTCCAGGTGCAATTCAAGATCCTGGTTGTCACCTTTAAAGCCCTTCATGGCTTGGGTCCAGGTTATCTGAGGAAACATCTCTTGCCAGTGACATCTATCCGACCCATTAGAGCGAGAAGGCAAGGAATGCTGCAGGTCCCATCCCTCAGGGAGATACACCTGATGGGACCTAGAAGGGCCTTCTCTGTGGTGGCTCCGTCTCTCTGGAACATCATTCCCCCAGAGATTAGAATGGCCCCCTCATTAATACTATTCCAAAAGGCACTGAAGACCTGGTTTTGCCAGCGGGCCTGGGGAACCCAGAGAGCGATGGAACCCATCAAATGGCTAGTATGACCCGCTGTCGTCGGGGTGGGGGTGGGTAGGAGTTGGTTTTTGTTTTGTTCTGTTTTCCCAAATTTTGTTCTATTGTACTTTACTAATTTATTTGATTCTTTTTGTTAGTTCTTATTGTTTTTATTTTTATTTTTTTGTTTTAAATATGATTTTACATTGTGTAAGCCGCCTTAAGTCACCATGGACGAATAGGTGGCAATATAAATCAAATCAATCAATAATTGATTGATTAAAAATGTATTCCTGTTTTAAACTTTATTTTGGGTTTGATACATCTTAACTAATAAATTGTTAGGGGATATATGCTTTTTATGTTATACCTATGGTATTAACCTTTTAGATGTGTGTAATGGGTAATAAATGCATTGATATAGTAAGAGGAATGAATGTTACATTATGTGATTTTTTTTAAACCAGTTATTAGCATATCATTGTATCTACTTGTTTCACTCTGTTTCATTCTTTTATATTTTGCTGCCATTACTGACCAAATAAATATTATTGTATTATATTGTCTATTTGGTGTATACCTGGTTATTTATTTTTTCAGTCATGGATGCTTTTTTATTGACATTTGTTTTTATTGTAAGCCGCCCATAGTTTTCTATGAGTTGGACAGTCTCCAAATCTAATAATAAATGCTATTACCACTCCAAACATCAAATAATTATAATACAAAGAACTTTTAGGAAAACTTTATCCTACACATAAAGTGTTCCTACAAGTTATCAATTACTTAAAATGTGGATATTTCTTCTTATTCTAAATCAAGGTTCCATGTTATACCTTATATAAAAAACACCCAAAAGCCATTATGTGGACTTTTTAATGTTTTGGTTTGCTTAGTGTGTGTTACAGGAACCTAGCCACAGTCTAGCACAGGGGTCCCCAACCGCCGGTCCGCGGACCGGTACCGGTCCGCGGAACAAGCCTTACCGGGCCGCTGGTTGCTGGGCGCCGCCATCTTTTTTTGGTAAAAAAAGCAATTTTTCGTCAAAAAAGATGGCGGCGCCCAGCTGACGCCGGAACCGGGCCGCGGCGCCCAGCTGACGCCGGAACCGGGCCGCGGCGTCGAAAAGGTTGGGGATCCCTGGTCTAGCAGACTGTGTAAACCCAGAAAAGTGCTTTATTTTTCAAATGGTTAAGCAAACCATGATTAACCTCAGTACAGAAAAGAACAAAATACCTTCATCTGAGAAGAAACTCCAAGAGATTGCAGAGCTTCAGCTTGTTTTCTAAGAATATACTGAAAGCCTTCACATATGAACCATTCCCAGCCTTTATCTGAAAATTAAGAAAAAGTGAATTCTTATGAGTAGCTTATCTTTGCCAGGGATCAAATTATATCAGTTAGAAACTTTAAGAATAGGTTCTTAAACATACTTATTAGGGAACAAATAGTGAAAACAGACAAAAATAAATTGCACAATCAACATCTACCTACCAAATAGACCTAAATGATGACAATGACAAGCCACCTTTGTATCATACCAAAAATCCTACATGATGTATATTATCAGCATACTGGTTATACCCAATCTCAAGTGACATCAACAACATCTGAAAGCAACCATGAAGAAAGGAGAACCCATGTACCAGTGTCTCCTACACCTCATTCCTACAGGTGGTCCAGAAGGATATTTGATCAATAGTGTTAAAGGCCTTAAAGAGTCTTAAGCAATCAAGAACTAAGGCTCTTGCACCAGGTATCCATATGTCTACAAGGTTAGATATTTTTTTTAATGGAACCCTTAAATTTTAACTCTATGAAAATTAATGTAAATATTGCTGTTCTTAATTGTTGCAAGTGTATAGTAAAATACTTTATGCCCTAGAAAATGTTAGAGATTGAAAAAAATGGCAAAAGTTTTTAATATCTTTTTTTAAAGATATAAGGGTAGAGAAAAACATTTAGATCCAAAAGCTAGATCAGCGCTCTCTCATATAATCTGGAGGAGCCATAAGCAATACACATTATATCTGAATACATTTGGTATGCCTGAATCTATTATTCTGCATACTCTTCCTATATATAGTTGTTTTTAATGAATACCAATCCTAATTCATTTTTAACATTATTGGTTCTGAAACACATATCCTTGAGAAGTAAGAAAAAATTCTGAAAGGTAGTCTTTCAAAACATAATTTTTACAAAACACAATAAAGTTATCTCCATATAAGTTATTGATTTCAGATTCTTACCACTGTGTGACCATGTGTCTAGAGCAGCGGTCCCTAACATTTCTGGCTTTGCATAACGGCAGCAAATGGGGGGGGAGATGGGATAATTTTACATTTGCACCTGCCACTTGCAAAATATGGGATGCATGTGGTCACCTACTGCTTGCACAGCCCAGTTCTCAACCGGCCACAGCCCAGTACCAAACTGCGGACCAGGGGTTGGGGACCACAGTCTAGAGGATTAGAGTTTATTAAACTGATGCTAAAACTCCAGCTATGAATAAACCTACAACCCACAGATTGTATTTATTACCTCCACTGAAGAACTGATATAAACAAACACACCTTATTGGATGAGAAGGCTGTAAACTTGTTCAGCATTAGTTGTATACGATGGGGGGGAATCAACATTTTATACCTTTATAACTAATAAAAAACAAATCTTACCGAATTTATTCTTCCCTTTTCTTAATCCTCTAGAGATAGACTGTGCCCTTGCATTAGTAATAACATCACCAGTTTGAACTTCTCTAGTCTTCTGCAAGTTTTGAAAACATATATGGTTAATACACATGCCCAAAATTATTCAGCTAAAACAACTAAACAGGTCTACATTTATTTAAGAAGTTCATACATTGCATTCATGTATTTGATATTAATAGTTAATATTTAAATATTTACCCTTCAACTTAAGGTGAGTTTTAAAATTGGGAAATAAATAAAAGCAACCTTACTTCTATGACAGTGTGGCAAGATGTGCAGTAAAATCTGCCTTCTTCTGTAACGCTCCAGCTGACAGCAGAACAATATCCACAAGGTTCATTGTAGTCTCTCTAAAACAATGTGAAAATGTCCATACTTTTCATTCTATCCAAATGCACAATGCAATAAATATTTAAGAAAAAAAAATTCAGCATATAACAGCAAACACCCTATTTAACCCTAATATATTGTCTGCATGTAACATGGCTTTTTAAAACTAGTATGGTCCTGCAGATCTGCAAATTCAGGGCCATTTCCTTCAACTAAACATGAATAAAATCGATTTTGTGACATACCGTCCTATGTATGTTTGCTAGAGAAAAGCCCCTTCATTGCAGTGAAGTTTATTTTATAAAAACAAAGCACTACCACCACCATTATGCAACTAAATATTTACTCTCACAACTGTGCTTCTTGGCTTTGCAATTCAAATCCACAAACCCTGCAGCACAATTGGGGGAGAGCATAAAACGGTCGAGAGGGAATAGCCCATAGATACAATCAACGCCACTATTAAGATGCAGGACTTCATCACACAGGTATACACCGTTTTGAACGTTGCAAATTTTATTCTCTTTTCCCTGATCCAAACCACGCAAGGAACAGCAGCACAGGAAGAGGTTGGCAACCCTAGCAACACCTGAGAGAGGGAGGCCAATTCAAGCCACAAACAGAAACGACGTAGTGACACGAGATCCAGACTATCCTTATTAGATGGCCGTTAAGAAAGTATTCTGTCTGTGCCTCTTTAACTGCTGCAACTTGGTCTTCCACAGTTTAACATCCAGATCGTTAACTCCTGCGTTAAATATATCCTCAAGCTGTGTCTTTCCTCTCTCAAAAGAATCCTGAATTCAACCAATTAAGCTTCCTCAGGCTTGGCAGTGAAATAATATTTTTTTTAAAAAAACAGCCTCCAACAGCTACCGACGGGCTGTTACAGATGCAAAAGTGGTGCTTTAAAAAAACCCAGACCCCACCTACGACATCATTTGTCCGCAAACGAATGGATTATTTTCCCGCCGCCCCCCCCCCCCCCCCCCCCAATGTGCAATACAGGTTTCCTAGTCCTCGCGTCCGTTGCTTAAACGCCGCCACCTCCCCTCGCCACGCTACACCCCAACCTCACCGCGTCCTCCTCCTCCATCGCGCGCGCCCCGTTTCACGCGGCAGCGATCATCGCGACTGCGCCATAGCAACCAACTGGGGGATGCCGGGGAGCCACGGAAACAAGCAACCGGCCGGGAAACGAGACCTCTTGCTCTAGGGTTCCGAAGGTAATAACAGCGTCCGCTTTCTTGCTTGAAAATTGAAGATTTTAAATCGAAGTTATCTCCGAGGGATGGTGGCTGGAAATAAAAAGTAGAAATATTTGGTTTGAGTGAAAGATTGGATGAATGACTATCGGACACGTGTCATTTAGCAAAAGCCACCGCAACAAACATTCCAGGATATATATATTTTAAATAGTAAAGCGAGGTTAAGTGTCGAGCAGTAGTTAGGTACAAGCAGAGTGGCCTAGTTAAGATAGAGCAATGTTGCTTATAAAGTGGGGTTCTAGGGCTCCTCCAAGATCCTCTGAGACCTGCAAAATCTAAATTATTTGCCAGCCTATGTGGAAAAGGAATAGAATGTTTTTTTAAAAAAACCCACCAATCATGAGAAGCGGTTGCAGCAACAGAGGCATCTTTTTAAAATTTTTAATATGGGTAATATTGATAAAATAACTCGCGAATGAAAACTGTTTTGGGGTACTCCAATTTTTTTAAAAGCAACAAGCAATTCCGAAAGAGAAAAAGTTTAAGAAACACTTGAGAAGTAGAGACCCAAGTTTATATTACGTGTGAAACGTAATTACAGCCATTATAGCAGCTTTAATAGGGAGCAACCCTCCCCCCCTCTCTGCCAGATGTTGCTGAACAAATCCTGGCCTATGTCACCATTAGCCTTATAGATTGAAGTGCTAGGAATTGGAAGTTTAGGGAGATTTAGAGAAACACTAATTTCTGCTAAAGATCAAACGCTCTGATTCTATTTATACATTAACCAGTTTTGTTTGAATAAGGGACTACACTTGGTTTAAATTATGGACTATCAATAACAATGGTGTATTATTTGGCTTTCTTGAGAAAATGCAAAGTAATAAACTGGGTTTAATTTACAATAAACAGATACTTCCAATCACCTGCTTGCAGCAATATTGTAAGCGATGGCTCGTTAGTATTTTACAGCTACAATCCAAACAGCTGCTTCTCTACATTGGGCTAATTTATTTATTTTTTTACATTCATTTTAGGCCATTTATAATCCGCATTTCTGCAAGCAGTGAATATTCAAGGCAGCTAAAAACATTAAAGAAAGAATCTGAAAAAATACAAATGTTATTTGATCCTAAAGCTAACTAGCAATTAAAGACCAGGGAAGGAAGTGTATCTTTAACTATGATGTTTCACTATAAGATAGTGATACATTTTTTTCAAACAATTATGATACTTTATAGCACTGTGTATTATAGAAATTAAATAGAAGATTGTCTTTTTATGTTCCTTTTCTTGTATGATTTTACTACTCAGAGTAGAAATTGATTTCACCAGTTCAAAGACACTATCAAATGTATAGTTACTGTCTTATCTGATATTTTAGGCCTCTGAAGTACTTTTAACACGCAGCATCATTTTATAATTAGTAATTAGTTTTTACTTTTTGTTGGAATAAAAATCCAGTTCCAAGCCAAGAATAAAATGAAGGCTGCTTAAGAAAGAAGGTCTGTTTATTGATGAACAGAACCACCATCAGCCTGTGGTTCTGGGTTAGCTGTCCCAGAATTACAGGCTGGTTCTGCTCATCAATAAACAGAATCTTTCTTTCAAATCAGCCATTTTATTTCCAGCGTCTTTCTCCCAGCTTGGAACTGAACCAGATGAATTTTTCTTCCAACATTTTCATGTACAGTATATTAATATTTTACAGATGCAATTAAAATCTGAATATTTATTTTAAAAATAAAATTACAATATTGTTTCCCTTTCCTAGTAAAGAAGTAAAAAATATGCATTTGCTATTGCAAATGCAAGTGTTGTCAGAATTACATTCTGTCAGAGGTGGTATCAGCAGGTTCTGACCAGTTCTGGATAACCTGTAGGTGGGTTTCTACAGGTTCTGTCCACCTCTGTAGAACCAGTAGCTCTGAAGAGCAGCAGACATAGAACCGGTTCTATGTCTGCTGATGTTTTTGCCCACCCGGGCCCTTACCTGACCTTTATTTCCTGATTTTATCAACTTCAGCTGCTATGCAAGGCACAGCTGCAGTTTAAAAAGCAGGAAAAAGGGCTTTTTGAAAGGCTGCTTCTCTGCACGCAGCATGCTGATGACAATTAACAGGCACGCGCGGCAGCGTGCAGGGAAGCACATTGTAAATCACCGAACCTCGTAAATGACCGAACTGGTAGTTAACCATGTCGGATCCCACCCCTGACCATAGCGGAAATTTTGAGTAGTTCAGAGAACCAGCAAATCCCACCTCTGACTGGAGATTTTACAGTATCCTTCCCCTGCCACGCCCACCAAGCCACGCCCACAGAACCGGTAGTAAATAAATTTGAATCCCACCACTGCATTCTGTGATACATTACATTTTGTGCATTTGCTTCATATATTGCCAGCTTTATCCATTAAAACGTATAGATATTAACTATGCAACCTTTCTCTTGCACTTATCAATATGAAATTAGTTTTTCTAAATCCTGGTTTTTATTTCTTAGACATGCTGTTTGGGTTTTTACAAATTAACAGACTTAATAGCAGCTAAAATGCATTGCTTATTGTCCACCTTGGTTATTGTATCAGAATTTGAATGACTAAACTACTGCATTGCCTGCACATTTTCTAAAATTCTCATTTATTTTACCAAGGTTATCTGGAATCTCAATTATTGCCCAATCTATTGCTTGCTTTAGGACTCAGTATCTCATGTGAACTAAGAAAATTGGGTGAATTCCATAAACCATATTTAAATTAATCTTAGATGGGTATGCCATGTGAATGTATATCTTATATGGATGCTACTTGGCACCAATATGGGAAATTCTGAGCAATAAGAACTTGCCTTGTGCCTTGACTAAGCCTGGCTGATTCCTCTTGATCCATTATAGATTTTTAAAGGGGGATCAGAATAACAGTTGGAAGGGACATTGGAGATCTTCTAGTCCAACCCCCTGCTCAGGCAGGAAACCTTATACTATTTCAAAACAAATGCTTGTCCTATCTCTTCTTAAAACTTGCAGTGTTGGAGCATTCACAACTTTTGGAAGCAAGTAGTTCCACTGATTAATTGTCTTAACTGTCAGGAAATTTCTCCTTTAGTTGTAGGTTGTTTCTTCTGCTTGATTAATTCCCATCCACTGCTTCTTGGCTTGCTTTCAGGTGTTTTGGAGAAGAGGTTGACTCCCTCTTCTTTGTGGCAACCCCTTAGATATTGGAACACTGCTATCATGTCACCCCTGGTCCTTCTTTTCATTAAACTAGACATACCAAATTCCAGCAATTGTTCTTTTCAACCTATATTAATATAGTGCTTTAATTCTTTAACAGCAATTAAGATATCAAAACTTGAAACCCGCCATCCTGGGCCCAAAGTTTGGGAAACCAGGCTCTGCCTGTCACAAGCCAGGATAAAGGGTGAGTGGTGGAGGAGTAACACCTCTTTAAAAAAACCTTGGTCCAGCTGGCCCGGCTGGTAGCACCTTGTAAGGGCCCCTTGCCAGGGTTACAGAAAATGGTCAATGGTTTTGAAGGTGGGAGAGGAGCCTACATCCCAACAGCAGATAAAGGGATGGAACTGTCTTCACTTAGTTCACTTCAGTGTGTGGCTGCAAAATGTGTCTTCTCCAGCGGAGCGACCTCTTATTAATACCTGGCAGTAGGTATAAAATACTTTCCATGACAGATGGAGTGACACATCGATTAGAGTTGGAGTACCTCAGTTGTATCAGTGGCAATATCTAGTCAAATTTTGGATCTGAGGATATAGCCTCGGCAACTTGGGCAACCAGCACTATGGTACCAATTTGGAAGGGCAAGGATGACATGGCTGAATGCTTGAATTATTGGCTCTGTGTCATACCATGAAAATGTTTGAACATGTTATCAATGCCAGGCTCCGCAAGATTGTCTCCATCACTCCAAATCAATGTGGCTTTTTGAAATAGAGTGGAACAATGGATGCTACACTGCTCAGTTGCTTTTGAAGAAGCGCTGTGAGAGGACTAAGTCCATCCACGTGGCATTCCTTGACTTGGAAAAGGCCTTCAGTCATATCCCACACAAACTTATTTGGCATGCTCTATGATCTAACAATGTCCCTGAAGCTTACATCCAGTGGATTCAACTATTGTACTGTGGCATCACTAGCATGGTTCAATGTGCAGTGGGAACATCACCTCCCTTCCACATCAATGTCAGAGTAGATCAGTCATCGGTGCTTTCACCTCTACTATTTGTCCTTTGCATGGATACTGTGATGCTTGACCTCCAATAGCCCCATCCATGGTCACTTGTCTATGCCACAACACCATCTTGGTGAATAAGCAACGTGAAGACCCCCAAGAGCAAACACGGCAATGGAATGAACAGCTCGGCGAATTTGGCCTTTGACTGAACATCAAGAAAACAGAATGTAGGGAATGCGCCCCCCCCCCAAACCAATGGAACCATCACCTTTGGTGGAGAAGATCTGAAAAAAGTAGAACAAATCAAGTACCTTGGCTTCCTCACATGCAACGACTGCAATGGTTTTCTGGATGCCCACACCCATGTCAGTACTGCCTGGATGAAGTGACCCCAGGTGACTGGAGTCCTGTGTTGCCTCAGTGCCCCCAGTCAAAGATTTACATAACAGTGTGCCCAGTTGCCCTCTACAGATTGGAGTGCTGGCCAGCAACAGCAAAGCATGAACAGCATGGAAATGTAAAGGCTCCGATGGTACCTTAGACTAAAGCAATTCGACTGCACCATGAACGATCACATCTGATGTTGACTGGAAGTTGCACCTGTCGAAAGGTGTCAAAATGCCTTTCGAGGATTCGATTTTCCCGCTGGGAGAGCTCCGGCGCAAGGATATGGACAACTGCTTGAAAGCTGGATCTTTTTATTTTTCAGGAAGGTGAGAGATAGCGAGAAGTCTGCGTTCCTGGGCTAGCTACCTTCGT